TCTCTCTCTCTCTCTCCTCTCCCTCTCTCTCTTTCTCTTTCTCTCTCTCTCTCTCCCTCTCTCTCTGTCTCTATCTCTTTCTCTCTTTCTCCCGCTCTTTCTCTCTCTCCCTCTCTCTCTTCCCTCTCTCTCTCAACTTTTCGACTTATTGCTCTGCTTATCGACTTATTGTATGTCCGCATAGTTGTCTTGTTAGGAATCTCTTTCGACAGTTTCGACTCTCTATATCTCTTCTTCCTCGCGGGCTTCCTCTTGCAGCGAACACTGGTCCGCTGGGAGTGATGCACTGCACGACGGCGGACACAACGCTGGCCGGCTACGACATACCGAAGGGAACGACCGTCTTCACGAATCTCTACGCTGTGCACATGTCGCCGCGACACTGGGACAAGCCAGAGCAGTTCCGCCCCGAGCGCTTCCTCACACCTGGAGGCCAGGTGAAGAAGAACAAGGCGCTGATACCTTTCTGCATCGGTGAGTGAGTGAGTGAGTGAGTGAGTGAGTGAGTGAGTGAGTGAGTGAGTGAGTGAGTGAGTGAGTGACGGAAAGAAAGGACGCGCGAAGCAGCTACGGGAGGGGGGTTTCTCGAGTGAGCCCTCGCTTGGCTGCGTGGGGTTTTGTAGAGGGTGTGTGTGGTCTGCTTCAGGTGAAAGATTCTGCTATTGAGAGTTCATGATGGCTTGGGGTCGTGCTATTTGCTCGCGATTGCAAAAGGTTTTTAATCTTTGCGCCTAATATTACTCGTTATTTCTACGTTTGTTGTTGTTGTTGTTGTTGTTGTTGTTGTTGTTGTTGTTATTGCTGCTGTTGTTGTTGTTATTGCTGCCGCTATTGTTGATGTTGTTGTTGATGTTGTTATTGTTGCCATTGTTGTTACTGCTGTTGTTATTGACGTTGACGTATTTTCCTACCTGCCGGCGACAGGTAAGCGCAGCTGTATCGGCGAGTCTCTCGCCCGCCTCGAGATCTTCGTCTTCCTCTGCACGCTGCTGCAGCGCTTCTCATTCGAGTTCGCCGACACGGGGCCGCGACCTTCGCTCGACGGTAACCTTGAGATCGCCGTCAACAGCCCCTGCGACTACGAGGTCAGCGTGCGGCCGCGTTGACGCATGCGCCGTCGCGTCCGAGGAAGCGCTCCTCGGGATGACGTCAGCGATATGTGTGCACGAGTGGATTGCGTCATCGTTCGTACGCGTGCTTGTGAAGAAACATGGCTGCCGTGTGTAAGATAGTATCGAATCAGATCGAGCGCGTCTCTTATTTTTTTGTCTTTGGTCGGCGAGAAATGACGATGTGATGCAGCAGAAACAGCGGAAACAGCAATAGCAGCAGCAACAGCAGCAGCAGCAGTAACAGAAGCAGCAGTAGCAGCAGTAACAGAAGCAGCAGCAGCAGCAGCAGCAGTGACAGCAACAGCAGAAGCAGCAGCACCAGCAACAGCAGCAGTAGCAGTAGCAACAGCAACAGCAGCAGCAGTAACAGCAGTAGCAGAAGCAGCAGCGTCACCTGTCGAGTAATCACCGCCACGGAGAGATAGGCGACATTAAGAAAATTGGATTAACTCAACGTCGTTGACGATGACTTGCTGTGTGTTCGTGTGTGAGTGCGTATGGTACTTGCACTGCGCACTTGTGGCGCAGGAATTTCGGACGCAAGATGGCGGGGCGCACATACGTCACAGGAATGAGTGGCGCACGCAAGCTTCTGCGTGGACCTTTTCCTTTTATTTTGTTATGAACACGAATTCGTCTGCTCAGAAGAAGCGATTTCGTTGGACGGACGTAGGAATATATGGATGAAAGTTGTGCTGCGACGGACACGGATCGTGTGCGCTCTTCTCCCGTGAGTGCGCATGCGTATGAAATCCGGTCAGTCGACAGGAGTTGATGTTGTGGCACCACCTGAAGATTCTGGCATCCGGGTATCTGTGCATCCGGGCATCTGTGCATCCGGGCATCTGAGCACCCGTGCACCCGGGCATCCGGGCACCCGTGCATTCAGATTCCTGAGCATTCAGGGATCTGAGCATCCGGGCATCTGTGGCGACAACGTTCGATAAAAAAACGCTCTTTGTCGACAATGGGTGTATTCCACGCGTTCGTGCACTCGTGCGTATCCGTGTGGGCATGCGTGAGTGTTCGTGCACTCGTGCGTATCCGTGTGGGCATGCGTGAGTGTTCGTGCACTCGTGCGTATCCGTGTGGGCATGCGTGAGTGTTCGTGCACTCGTGCGTATCCGTGTGGGCATGCGTGAGTGTTCGTGCACTCGTGCGTATCCGTGTGGGCATGCGTGAGTGTTCGTGCACTCGTGCGTATCCGTGTGGGCATGTATATGTGCCTGTATGTGCATTCATACGTGCGTGTCTATATGCGTGCATGCGTGCGCGCGTGCATGTATGTACGGGCGTGAGTGCGTGCGTACGTGCGTTTGTAGGAACGTGTGCGTGCGAACCTCTGTGCGCGCGTGTATAATAGAATTGATAGAAGCGTTTCTTCGAATTATTTAAAACAAGCAAGTCATCCCCTCAAATTCAAGTGATAAACTTTCCCGCCAAAACAACATGGCGCCGCGCGTCCATCTATTATCTACAATAAATATCCATCCTTTACCCGCGAGCACGAAGTATGTATATATATATATATATATATATATATATATATATATAGTATAGTATAGTAGACGTACGTA